ATTGAAAATGATGTTATTTTGATATAACACAATAATCAGGCTATTACCAAGCAAAGGTTTAAATTTCATGTCACATGAAGTATGTATTATCTCACTATCTCTCAATGTATATTTGCATCTACTAATCTCTTGATATTTTTCGAAGAAAGATTATCTCCAATTTAATTAGAAATTTGTCGTCATTTGTAATCGATAATTGGTTCTTATTTTATGTCAAAAGAATTTTTATTTTCAATTAAGTATTGTTTCCCAACATCTCACCATAAGTTGGCTTGCAAACTGCTATAGAATATCTGAATAATAGGCTTATGACTGCACTATTACAGGTAATAGCCTGTCAAGAACAATAATTCATAATGATTTATTAAAATTGTTTATTAGTTTTCCAAAAAAAAACCACAAATACATTTTTTTCATATGTTTTAAATAATAATAATTTATTATGAATATGGTAATATACACTGACAATAATATAGTTCATATAAATTTATATATTGTTAAACAGGATTGACTTTCGACTTTCAAATGGCAATCTGGATTATAAATGGTTATAACTTATAATGCTTGTTTTGAGTAAAATTTTAAGGAATTATGTATATTTCTAATAATGTTRATGTTTTAAAAAACATTGGATTTAATTCCGAGGAGGACCTTTTCCGTTAATTCATTACCACTATTTTTTTTTTCGTTTTACCGTTTGTTTTTTTTTTAAATGACTATATATATTAATGGAATGATTCACGGGAATGTGTTGATAAGTTAGATCAAGCCTTTTGTAGGAGCGCCACTCATCAGTAATTACTGTCGTGCCTGCAGCAACATGTTCAATAATAATTGGCAACAATGTACAGCACTGATCAGTCGGGAACAGAAACTAGAAAAGTTTCTTGGGATTATTAATTTTGTAGATCCTAATACTTTGGCTCACACTAATATTATTTGAGAGTTCTTGGAGCAAAATAAAATCTCGAAATAAAAAAAAAACAGTGGGATACCTACCGACTAATGCTGAACAGCTACTTGGTCGAGTACATGTGGTGTACGCGTTATGGTCCTAGTAATTTATTTGAAACAATACTACAACATATTGCACACTTCATGCCGCCAAACTAAAAACGATATAATATACATATATAATAATCTAAAAAAAAAAACGGAGAAACTAAAAAAAAATTAACGGAAAAGGACCAATTCCGATATAAAAAACTGAAGAATCTTAATTTAGTTATTTAGTAAAATAAAACACAATTCGTTTATATTTTATGGCCATCGTGTCCCTGTTTATTTGTTATTAAAGAAATTAGTTTTCTACACCTTAATATTTCAAAAATTAAAATGTATAAATTAAGGTTTAYATATATGCATATCAGGAGCGTATTGGGGGGGGGGGTGATATGGGTGTTAGAACACTCCCCATCATCCATATTTTTTTATATTTTCACCAAACTCTGAATTTACTCGTTAGACCGAATTTCCATGAAAGACGAAAGTAAGTACTTTATCTGTGATTTGAAGTTTCAGCTAGCTTTCATTGAATTATACACTACCTAAATATCATTGGTATTTTTTATAAATTATAATTTTAATAGAATACGATGTACTCTGAATACTCTGATGGACAGGGAGATTCTTTTAGATGGGTACACTAATTATCTCGAAAAGTATTTACTTTTTTCAAAATATTTTTTTAAATGGTTTCAAGTTGATAAAAAACCAACGTTTTTATTGAAAAAATATAATTTTAAATATGTGGAGCCCCCCACCTTCCAAATGTCTATTAAATTTCAAAACACCCCCGTGAAATGAATCCTGGATACGTCACTGATGCATATTGTTATATTAGGAATTTAGGACAATATTAAGGAATTAAAAATATGTAAACATTATACAATTTATAAGTTATAAATTATTATGTATTTAATGTATAGTATTGAGTGATAARATATAAGATAAAATGATWAAGATAATATTTTATTATATATTAGGTATTTGAAGTGAATATGAGAATAAAATATGTGCTACTACAATCAAATAATACATACATGTAAGAATTATCATCTATATAAAGTACTATTATAAACAAGAGCGTCATTCCAGTTGGGATCCAAGTTTTAAGTAGATCGATTTTCATATCAAAAAGAAATTTTTTCAAAAGTATTAATTATTTCTCTTTTTCTTATAACATAATCGTTATGAGCTGTGTATATTAATAATTATTAATCGACCTTCGATTCGATTAAATTTATGACGAGTGATGGCAATAGAAAAAYCATTATGTTATTTTTTTATCTCGTAAACAATAGTGACACTTCTTCCTACGTTATAGCTTATCTCGATACAAAAAAAAATGTATTTTTCATATATTTTATATCTGTGGAATTTTTAAACATTTAAATGTTTAGTAAATAATCATATGATAGATACGACAATTAATAGGTAACAGCTAGTTATGGTTGCCTCAGACTCACCTTGCGAATGACGCCCCTAAAATGAGTAAAATGCAAACAACTACAAGAATACTTATTATAAGTCATCTATGCATAACCATGATGTGTGAGCATAATGGTAATTAGATCATGACGATGTGTGTGACGTTTTCTTTTCCGGCTAAAAACAAATAATAAACAAAATTAAAACCATACGAAAAACATTGATAGTTATATTTATTTAGTATGCATGGTATAATTTAAAAGTAAAATACGGTGGAAATCTGACACATTGTCGCACTTATCAACAAGTCTCAGTAATGCAATACCTACCAATACGTGGCAATGTATATAATTCGCTATAGGCAATTACGCGTGTATTTGACTAGTCGGCTAGTCATTATTAATTAAACAGCKAGTTGCATATCTAATTTTTTTTWAAATCATTACAGGAATTGCCATTATTCATAATTCGATGAGTATGATTATACTATGATATAGGTGGTATAGGTSATAGCCTATATAATTTGAGAGCCAATAGGTAAAGACGAGGTGGATTATATCCGTGATCATAATTAATAACATAATATAGGTAATGTTATGTCAAGTATAAGTCAATGCATTAAATATTTAAAAAAAAAGGCTCTGTGGGGGGATCTATAATCATCCTCATCCTTCCCATAACTACGCCATTATTATTGACTAGCGACTTGACTTTTAGCCAACATCAATAATATAATATGGTTAATACAATTATTTGTATGATGTTAAGTATTACCTATATGATAGTTATAATATAATATTTTTAGTGTTATATTTACATAATAATTTGAAAAGGTGAACTTTGACGGCAAATGGAATCACAAAGTCTAAATACCGGTAGTTGCATGGCATTTTTTTTATTTTGCGATTACACTTTTCGGAAAATCGCGCGAGAATAAAATGTATTCAAAACGGGGTAAACTAATCAAACAGAGTTAAGTATGTTCCTAATAACACCAACATTTATACAATTTTAAAATTTTTTTTTCATTAACTGTTATATCACCAATATGTAAATGCCGACTGGCATCAATTAATTAAATTATTAAATAAATAATAATGTACTAATCACTTGGATTGGCCAAGCCTTATTATATTTAGTAATGATTTTAGTCAACACTAATGTAATATAATATACGATATTAAGTATTATGATTGTTACATATTGTATTAAATACAATAGTTTTGTACAATATTTTGACCAGGGAAACTTTGTTTTCAATTTGAATCAAAATGAGTCAAGGCATCGGTAGACGCGTGACATTTAGGTATTATCTTATATTATACAATAAGACCTTTGGAAAAACCGTGTGAGAATAAAATATACTTAATGGGTATAATTAGATAACTACGGTAAAAAACCAATCACGAAGTGGTGTCGAAAAAGCCAGTACGGCCAACGGGCTAAGCTCACAGGCCTACATTATATTATTATTATTATTATTATTGGCAGATAGGTATTCCGGAAACGAGTAAAAGTAATGAAACGTCGCACGCGAATAAGACAATGGGTGGACGGACGAGAAAATGTAATTTATAAGTACATCATAATATGCAACTGCGTATTAGAGGCGTTCAATACGATTTATAATTATGAATTATTAATATCYCAACATTATAATCTATTAGCTTGTGCCGGACAATAATGTCAAATATACACGTCGCTGTTAATAATAATACGACGACGACGATGATTCGTATGAATTACGATTTAAAAAAYGTCGTATTTTATTGTTATTCATACATCACTAATAACAAATTAGACAATATAACTAAAATTGTTATTTTCTTGTTTATTTAATATGTAATTTCTTCCAAATTTTAACTTAAAATAACTATTAAAAAAACTGTGTTCTTTTTAAAAAGATCGACAATTTCAAAAGGCCAAGAATAACTTAAAAAGATTTGGAATATTTTGAAAATTTAATCAATTATAGAAAATGGCAGTTTAAATATTCAATGAAAATTCCACGTGTTTACGGTAATTTATTTTAGATTTAAGCCAATATCGATTTTCTCAAAAATTAATTTTGCGTRAAAATTCCCGTTTYCCCTTAATTTTTTCTTTTGTTTTTCCCAGCGCTTTTGAAAACTGTTGGGAAATTCAAAATTCAACTTCCTCAATACACCAATTAGATTAATTTTCTAACCGGAAAAGCTACTAAAGTTGAAAATCGAAGCACTATTTCAACAACTTATCGTGTACACTGTACACAGGCAAACATATACAAAAAAACACACATCACTGTAAAATCAATACATTCTAAAAGAATAAATAATAATGCAAGTAGTTTATAACAAATTCTCAAATGTGCGTAACTTACCACTCTTTAATATGTAATCTATGGTTCTTTGAAAAATGTATCAATATATCAAGAACCGTAAAATATAAATTTTATTTTAAAAAATAGCAAAATTCAATGCCTACGAAAAGAAAGGTTGTTTGGTTCCGAACTACCTGTGCGACTTTCTAGATATCATGGTATAGTAACTTTTTAAAAAATRGCTCTTTCCTACAAAAAGGTTCATGATCGCTGCCCTAAGATAGTTTTAAAAATGTTTTCTAAACAATCTCGTCAATCTCCACAGTTATATTGAAATATAGAAAACTATAACAGCCTAATAATTATTATATTTATCAATTATCGCCGTACAACGTGATGGTTTGTACTTTTCCATATATAGGAATAAATTAAAATGACAATATGTGTGATAAAAATTGATAAGCATTGTATTTTTTTCTTCTTCCTTGGTAGAAATGTATGGCTATAGGTTTTTAAATATAAGTAGGTATCATAATGGGCATATACCAGCATCATTTTTAAAATGTCAACCAGCTTTATTTCAATAATCTAATCTCATTATTTCAAACAAAAAATTAGTAATAGTGGTTAAAAATTTAATTTTCATTGAAAACTTTTGAAATATAAGTATTTCATAGTTTTATCATAACAATAAATATCAGTTGAATAAGGAAACTAATTKAATATTTTAATATTTTAAACTTACTTAAAAATACTTCTAAAAAATTTATTTATCATTTAATGTTGTATCACACTACTGGTTTCGTAAACCAATTTAATTAGCAGACATTAAATAAAATATTCTCGTATAATATTAATAATAATTTTAGTTTTTATATAGCACAGTGCTATAGACACTCATAGACATTGTGCATAATAATATGTGCTGAAGTGATAATTACTGACAGCTGATGTTTATATTATTGTAAATTGTTATCAAATTTTCATGATGCATGGAGCTCTTATGTTTCGAATATAAATATGGTTCATCGAGCTTGTCATTAGAAATATAACAATTTAATATTACGAACTACTATAGCAATACAATTTACTGTGTATTTAATATTATGTATTTTATTAATTAATTTATTTAGATTAGTTGTTTTCTCAAATCAATTATACCWGCAAAATTGTTAAAAGTATCAATATTTKWAAAAAAAACTATTGAGCTCGAGATTTGAAAATGATATATTGCAAAGAAAACGCTAATATAAAATATGCTCGGTGAAAATGGCTAGTCATCACGGCTCACAGTTACTAATTTACGAT